CAGAGACTGTTGATTGTACCGGTGGCCTTTTGAGCCCCTTGCGGGTCATGCCACCTGTTGTACACGGACCGTACAAACTCTTCCAATGTCTGGGCCTGGGCCCAGGCATCGAAATTATGACCGTAGCCCTGTTGCTGCACTAGGCCATTCAACCAACGGGCTGCTGACCCCTCTAAAAAGGAGGCAGCCACAACAACTTCTTGCTCTGGCCTGGTAAGTTTGTGCCTTACATAGGTAGACACCGTCCTTACCCACATATCCAAATCCTCGCCCTTCTTCTTGTCGCCAAAGAAAGGTTTAGGACTCAGCAAGGGTATTTTGGGCATCCACTGCATAGGCTGCAGTGGCTGCATAGCCACCGAAACAGGTTGCTGCACACTAACCTGGGCCTGCCTTGACAGTGGGACTGTAGTAACCACTGTCGGCGATGGAAGGCTGAGACTCTATGAACCGGACCACTAGTTGCTACAAAACCACCTGGAGGGGGCATGCCAAACATAGGTGAGAATGAAGGCCCTACCGGCGGCAGCGTCACTAATGGACCTGCACCCAAAGGGGGAGCTACAGCAAACTGAGGGTGTCTCATCAATGGATGAGGAGCCTGCAATGCAACCAGAATTCGTTTCTGGCCTGCCACTAGTTCAGCCAACACCTCCTATTGAACTACCTGCGTCTCCGCCACACACAAGAGCGAGTTACGCAGTACTTGTATCGCAGGGTCAAGTGTTGACTCATCTAGTGCTTCTAATCTGCTTAACTCCTGCATTTTACTGCCTAGTCTAGCTTTTCTCATGATTGTTTTTCTTCTCCTTACTGCTGCCTCATCCAATTGCCGCTGTAGCTCATCGAAGTTCTTCTGCTTGGAGGATTTCATAATCCTCCCGCGTGAATTGAGTCTGCTGGCTGACTCGCAAGCCAGCAACCTGACGAATGCACCCCTGAGAACCACTTTGACTCACTCCTGACGATGGCCGATGAAGAAGCCTACAACATGGTAGAGGAAGTAGCCATGGTCGTACCGGTAATAGCTGTAGTTCTAGACCTGGCACTATCCTCAGCCACCCTCACTCTTTTTGCCGATGCTCTCTCTCTAGCCTCTCTCCGCAGTCTCCTCTCTTCTCCTGGACCTAGCTCTAGGAAAGTCAAGGGTCGACTACGAGAAGATCCACGAGTAGTCCTACGGTCGTCCACTAACAACTCCTCCTCACTAGTGCTTGCATCACTCATGAGCTACAGTGTGTGTGATCTAAACTAGAATCCACACTGAATCCTACCTTAGTCTGACACACAACCGATTACAAATCACAACTAATTTCGGTCGGACTGAAAAAAAACAGTTAGGTGATGTAGTAACAACTAATGTCAGATCCTACAGGAAATATCACATCTATTTTTAGATTACCCTAGAATAGATTGCAATGCAGCAAAGATCTAATTTATCTGCAGTTGTCTTTCGGTTGTTAGTCAAGTCTGTAACAACTAGATAATCAAAAATAAAAATAATATCTCTTGTCGGAGATGTATATTGGATGGCAGATTGTCTAATGATTGCCACTGTGAACAGTTACCGGAATCCCCCCTCCCCCTGTATCCTTCTTGAGTTAACGTCCTGAGCATCTGGTTGAGCAGCATGTCTAAAGGTGTGCAATCCTGCCCGCCCCTGTGCCCCAAGTCAACGCCGAACCTGCCAGCCCCTGCACATTATTTACCCTCGCATGCAACGAGCCTTACACCCAGTTTGATCTGGCTGATCAGGAGGCATTTAAGGAGATCCCCCGAACTCCTCAGGAATTATTTAACGTCGCAGACAGGACGACGATCACAGCCAGAATCAACACCGAGTCCCTGCCAGAAATATTTAAAGACGGTCTGGTAAGCGTCTCTGTTCAAAGGGCTGGCATGCCCTGCATGACCTCTATTGCGCAAGCAGCAGAACCAAGGACTTGCGGCAAAGCATGCGTGTACTAATCCCAACGGGTTGGCACGGTGACCGTGACCCGAGTGCTTCGTCCAGGGCCCTTCAGAGGCTTCGCCCGTCTCCCACCAGCTTGCTGCCCAGGAAGAATGTCGACTCTCAAGGTTTAGCGCTCGCAACACCTCACATCGAGAGGACTCTCAAGACAAGACTCACTTCCTCACGGTAAGAAGTAACGAAGAGGGTAGATAAGGAAGAGAGCAACGTACCTCATAATGCGGCCCCCAACCACAGATTTCTCACCGGCAACCTGATGTGCATTTATGACGACCGGTCTTTGCCTCGGCACAACCAACAGCAGTATGCAGTTCCACCTCGGCTTGATATGTCACATCAGCGAGCTCTCATCATCCAGCATACACCCCATATGTCACCACATAGTTTCCTGGTGCGCCCACACGACCCTGGGCCGCCCTACGTTCAACGCCCAAGCCTTATTACTGCCCCACACCTCATGCAAAGCACCGAACAGCTATAGCGAAGAACCAATGAAGCGCAATATGAACCAGCTCTGATACCAAATTGCAAGGAAAATAGGCAACAACGAGATGACAAATCCAGATTACACCATCACATTGAAAGCCAGATAGTCACACTGTGTCCAGAGAGCACCATTGCACCAATAATACACCAATGGAGGTTCATAGTACTGAAAACCAAGGTCAAGGAGAGCTTTCTCTCTCCGCCAACACAAGAGTCCAGTCCCTTCACACTCCTACTTGGCGCTCAGCGCCCAGCCTACTCCTCCACAGCTACGATCGGCCTAYTAATAGACAATGCAACTGTTGACATCAGCGGCAACCCGAAGTACTTSAAGATGTYGCCCAAATGCAGACCATCGCCAATACAAGGTATGTGCCCTCACACCATCATCATCATCATCATCCTTCGCCCTTCCCTGACTTTACACCCACGTCTCCCTTCCTTACGCCCGAAGACCACTCATGCGCCTCACTGTAGTCCAAGCCCACCAGCTATGATGGCTGGGCTATGGCGCTGC